TTTTTTTTTTTTTTTTGGAAAGCATGAAACTTTTTATTGCCAAAATCATTGAAAAAGAGGCCGGGGACCTCACAATTCAACCCGGAGTTATCCTGGCAGCCTCAGCCAGTTAACGTGCTGATTTTTCGCTCCCCCAATTTTTTTTTTGCGTGTCCTCCTTGCGCAGGGGCCATTCATGTCTATATCAGTCCAATTGTCCTTCGGGACATCCCTTAAAATTGGAACGATACAGAGAAGGGTAGATTAGCATGGCCCCTGCGCAAGGGAAAAGAAAAAAAAAAGAAAAAAAAAAGGAAAAAAAAAAATCAGTCCAATTTTTTAACGGATGTCCCCTTAAACACGTGTTCATTTACCTCTTTTTTTTTTTTTTTTTGCGCTGGACATGATTTGTTGCAATGAATCTGGCATGAGACGTGCATTTGGCCGGTACCTTCTTCCCCCGAATACAACGTACGGTCATTATAGCCGAATCTGGCCTATCTTCCAGTCTAAATACTGCTATAATATGACCGTACGTTGTATTCGGGGGAAGAAGGTAGTATTCCTACCATTTCGGTGGGGACAAATGAATCCCGTGATGGCGTCGGGTCTACTAGGGGAACCCCGCTAGAATAGAATGCAAGCTAAGAGCATATTACTCACACTGGCACTTTCCAAAACGCATCCGACTCCAATTACGGCCGGACCTGGATGCATCTGGCCGCAATCACGTCCATAAATGAGGAACAACAAACTCGTCGTGTGAGTATGCCCTCCGCTGGATGATTCTTCCGGACTGTTCCCGGCCTCTACTGGTAGTCTTGTGGATGATTCTTCCGGACTGTTCCCGGCCTCTACTGGTAGTCTTGATTGGAAATGAAATTTGACGTTTGCGGGACAAAAAAAAAAAAAAAAAAAAAAAAAAAAACAGAGCTCGCGAATTATTACTTTCGGCCTTTCCTACTATTGCTCGATTGTATTGCCTTGTGTCACTAGCGGGGTTTTGGTCTTCCTTTCTGGGTTTTTTTTTTTTTAAGCGTGGCCTCAGCGTGGCCGTGAGATGTTGAGATCGAATGGCAGGAGTCGAAACGTACTCTTCTCTTCTAAACCCTGGCTAGTGAAGCGGGGACTCGATTGTGCTTGATTGTGCATGTCGGTCTTCTCTGCCGCTCATCCGTGAACGATCCTCCTCGTTTTTGTCTTTTTCGCGATCCTGGACGGACAGTTACACTGCCATGTGATGGACAGTCTTTTTTTTTTTTTTTTTTTTTTTTTTTCATCACAACAAAGACACACGACTTCTTGCACAAACGTTAAACAATGATCTGTATAATAATATCAATATGATGGACAGTTCCACTGCCATGTAATGGACAGTTCGAATGCTGTAATTTTTATTATTATTATTATTACTTTTATTTTTTTTGAATGCTGTAATTTTAAGGGGGGGTGTTGGGGGAGGACAGTTCCAATGCTAGGTGATGTACTGAACGAAGGGTCAGGTAACTGCGAAGGTAGACACTGAGGGCATACTCACACTAGGACTTTTTCGACTCAGCTCTGGACGTGATTGCAGCCAGATGCATCCACGTCGGGACGGAAGTCTTAGAGAGGTCAGATGCATTTAGAAAAGTACTAGTGTGAAGATGCTCTGACAGGGCCAGGCACGCCTCGACGTCTCTGAATCCTTCCCCTTTCTGCGGCAAGGTGCCACTCACCCAGATTCTTCGTTCCTGGCCGTTGCGGTGATCTGTGTTATCTAGGAGTAGGAGCAGGAGCAGAGAATACACAGATAGACGGTCCCCCGACCCCGCCGTCCCGCCCTTCCTGGGCCTGCTCTTCTGCTCCCTCTACCGTCCTCCTTCAAGTTGATGGCCTTCTAATGTCTAGCTTCTTCATTCCGCTCGCTATATAAGCGGCTCGATTGCATTCGTTCGTCATTCACCCGTCCGTCAGTACAGCTCTACACATCGTTCGTTCGAGATCGGACATAACCTTTCCCATTTTCCGCCGCTCTTTCCACCTTCCTCGCACTTGTCTCGCGTGCCTGCTGCACTCACTCTCTCTCTCTCTCTTCTCGAAACACGAGCGAAGATGGGTTGCGGATGCGGACACGCGGGCTGCACTTGCCCCGACTGCAAGTGCAACGGGGGCACGGGAGCCACGTGCTGCGGCAAATGAAGTGACCAATCCCGATCCCGACCGCCACGGTGAGATGGGGGAGCAGAGATACTATGAGGACCAGCACGAGGAGAGCGCAGAAGAGGCGGAGGGCATCATGCCTTCGGGTTGGAACGCATGGCAGCTGCTGCAGCAGCTATGGCGATGAAGATGGCTATGGCTACGGCTATGGCTATGGCTATGGCAATGGCAATGGCGATGGTGTGGTCACTCTCATCTCTTTCTCATCCTGGTGGTCGGGGAACAGCAGGCGAGGCCAGACGCTGTGCGTCCTGCAATTATGGACGGGAGGCTGTCCAACTACGCCTGTTCTTCGGGTCTCTGAAGAGCCTGAACTCCGAAGATGCACTCAGCGAGATCGCTGCTCTCGTTGGCCTCAAGCGAGCTGACCTCCACACCGCTTGCTCCCCCCTTGCTTCGGACGCCGGAGCTGTCTTTAACAAGTTGATGTCGGTGCGCACCGAAGAGCGGTTATGGCTGTCTGAGTACGGGCAATGGCGGAGGAGGGGGGAGCGAGAGGACTGCCCTGTACCTTGACAAGGAAAAAAGGTGACGATGGGACTCCGCTTTGCTGCATGAAAAAATGGCGGAGGAGGGGGGCGCGATAGGACTACCCTGATGACCTCTGTCCGCTGACTCCGCTTTGCTGCATGAAAAAATGGCCATCGCTACAGGCTCCAAGTCTACAAGCATATAGAGCAGGAGAGGGTCTCAGCGATGGCGACGACGACAGGTCATGATCTTGTCCTCAGCTGTCCGGTTTCGTTTCCAAGCTGACTGACACCAGTTGAGCAGTTACCAAGGGGAGGAGAATCAGGAGACCGTCAGCTGAATAAGCAACGGACTTAGTCTCCGGGGTGAGAGTCAATCTTAGTCGTTAATTGTTGCATTGCAGTCGGCGAAGTTTGGTATGGTACCTTCGGGGCTGCTGGCATCAACGTCGCGGGTTGCAATGTAGTTCCTTGCCCAGGTCGGACGCTGGTCCTTGGATCGTGTAATTCTCTTCCTCCGCCGTGATTCCGGTGGCTACGGCACATTCTTGATTAACATAATTCTTTGGACAGTTTGAATGAACTGCAACTTTCTTGTCTCTCCTGCACGTGCTCATAAGCCCGTGCCCCGTACGCGTCCTCCCTTGACATCCACAAATCGCATATCTTTGTGACTTTGTCGTCTTCTTCTTGTAACTACCTGCTCTCTCTCTCCATGTGTGCGTGTGTAGCGGACCCACCAGGTGTGGTGCTCCGCTAGTGACAGAGATGGAGATGGAGGAAGAAGGGGGAGCAAGATGGCACAACGCAGCTCCCCACGCAAGACTCCAACGCACGTACTCCAAAATGTGCAAGTCAGGAATGAGCATGAAAACAGACAATGGCTGGGGTATACCCCAGCGGACTGACAGGACTGGACTGGACTGGCTGGTACCGACAGAGGTACCGGCCTGG